AATCATTCTTCATCATGACAATGCGAGCTCTCACACATCGACTCAAACAAAGGCATTTCTGACGGAGCGAAAGATCGAACTGATGGGTCATCCGCCGTACAGCCCTGATTTGGCACCCAATGACTTCTTCTTATTCCCACACATCAAAAATAAATTACGTGGACAACGATTTTCGACCCCCGAAGAAGCGGTTGATGCATTCAAAACGCATGTTTTGGAGTTACCTCAATCGGACTGAAAAAAGTGCTTTGAAAATTGGTTCAAACGCATGCAAAAGTGTATTGATCATCATGGAGAATATTTTGAAAAACAATAAAACCAATTTCGATAATTCCTACATATTTGTTTTTTCATTCTTAGGCCAGAAATATAAATAGCAACCCTCGTATAAGCTGCCTGACTTATTACATAATTTACGCACCTTGTATGAATGATTTCATAACCAGCGTTGAGCAACCGACCCAGTTCTGAGTTTACGACTATCAATTCCGTAGTCTTGTAATTTTGAACCCAATCCAGAAGAGAAGGAAACTCCTGACTCGAGTATTAGGAGAAATTTGTCTTCGTGGAGGACTTTTTGATGGAACTAAACCGCGTTTGCTTTACATAGAGAGAAAAACCACAAACATCTTCCACGGTTAGCCTGATGGCAAGGGGATCCTAACCCATGATGCGTCTACCACGGAGGATATTTCACGTCAGCACTGTGGTCATTGTGAGCCAAGTGCGGAATTTATATCGAACCTGGTTCACCTTATTAGAAGGCGAATGCTCTATCCTCTGAGCCACCTTGGCTCTGTATGGATAATTGACCGTCTAAAGCTAAGCACAGGTGGAGCTTGGGGTTAATATTTGTCGTAAGACTTCTGGGCTACAACTTTCGATTTATTTTTACTTGAAAAAGTGCACCAACCAATATTAATGTAATTATGAGTGTTTACGGTATAGCGTGTTCTATCATTTTAACTTTAGCTCAATCCATTTAAATGTGTCAGGAAACGAATTTGAACATGCTCCACAAGTATGCTACGAAAAAAAATATTAAATGAATCTTGGAATTTCGTACACCAGCTTTCTTTGATTGATTTTCCGGATTTCAGTTGCGTTCTTGTATTTTCATCGCACTATTTTTACTTTATTTTACCGCGTTTAACTTATCCCAACCTGTATATTTCTTGTTTTCATATTTGACAAAAACTATAAAAAATACATAATTGGGGTTGTCGTTGCAGAACACCCTGTGTATATTATATTGTTATTCAGCATAAATTTTAAATTGAATGCATGATTTCGATCAACATTGAAAAGAAAAAGTAACATCATTTACGGACGACCCCATATTTGAAGAAGGCAAACCACAAGAGATAAAGCGGATTTGGCATAAGCCTTCTATAGAACTCTAGATTAGCGGTCGCCAACAAGCATATAAAATTGGTATTTAGATATCAAACATTATCAATCAATCTGGCGATTATGTTACTGTGTAAAAGAATAAAATTTACGTGATATGTTAACTCCATTGTAAACTCCCATCCTTTTTCGATGGTTTTTTTCTGAATTTTTTTTTTTTTAACAAATTTACACATATTAGTTAAAATCCTGATATTTTTAATGCGATAATATGACACGCAAATATCGAATCGCGCCTTTCAGTAATCACTTTTTTAAAAACTCGATTCGTGATGAAAAAGAGATATAAATTAAAACTAATTTTAATATCTTTTTTTTTTAAATAACTTACAGTAAAATTTTAAAAAAATGAAGATTTAAATAAAGAAAACTGATTTATATCAAATAAATCGATATTTTTTCTAATAGAATATATTAAAGCAACAACCCTAGTGTTGGGCGAACACTTATATAATAAAGGGCAACCATTTTTTTTTATGACTGATAGTCAGTGGTTACTATACGCAATTCTAGAGCTATTACTTGTCTAAAGCTCTAGCTTTATGTTAGGAAAACTTATGGTGAAGAATTAGTTAGAGTAAAATGTACGTCCTTACCGTCTAGAATAAAATATTGTAACTTTGGAAATCGTGTTACAAACATGAAGGGAGGCAGAGTTGAGATGCTGTTTCCTCGTAGACCAACTGTTTGCAGATTAGGCATGTCAGTAAAGAGATCGTCAGGAAGTGTTCTCAACATGTTCTCGCTGTAAAACAAAAATTAACGAATTAACTCTGAGTAGTTTTATTCATACAGATACTGCAGGAAAGTTTAAGCAGTTATAGTTACATAATAATGCCTGGCCTGAGATTAATTGTTTATGTTATGATTTTTGGATAAAAGTTGCTAAGTTTAATTTTAGCGTTCGTTTGTTTTTTAAGTAAATCCATAGAAACTAAAATAAAATTATCACAGAACCTTTATTCATTTGAAAATAACAATAAGCTAGTTAATTAAGAATAAGACTTTTTTTTTTATACGATTGAAATAACAACACTGTACAACAAGTTCAAATGTTTTTTTCTGTCCTTTAAATAAAAACCTGATTCCATATAAACATAAATTGCTAGATTCGTGTATCAAAACCGAAATGGCGCACCACGGGCCGATATTGTAGGAGAAAAGTTCTCAAGCTAAAATTGAATTTTCTTATATCTCGCTTCCAATGTGTTTAGAGCAGGGATGGGTAAACTTTTTTGGTAGAAGGCAAAAAATCGGGGGGGGGGAATAGTTTGATGGACAAAGTAAAAACTTCTTAAATAACAAAACGATGTACAAGTTTTAATATAAATATTTAATGAGATGAATGAAAGTGCGATTACATTTTTAGAAGTTCTTTATATTGTACGTACTTATTTTAAGGAGCGAGGGTAAATACTTGTCTGTTAGTCTAATTGTGAAATGATTTTTTCTAAGGTTCCTAGTTGAAAACACTTGTTCACTTATAAAGGATGAAGCAAGCATAGCAAGCAAACATCACAAACTTGGAGCATACATACATTGTTTAACAACTCCCAATCTTCGAGAGATTTATTATTTTTCACAATATTGCATGCTGCAATGTAACTTGCACGCGTAGCTGCTTCTTGGACACTGTTTATCTTCGTGAAAAAATTTGGTCGTCCTGATAATTCTTTAAGAAGACTTTCTGCATTTTGTCTTCTTTCTCATTCATACATTGCTTCGTAGTTGGCATTCTTGTGCTTGGCTGTAAAATGTCGCTTAATGTTGTATTATTTAAAAACTGCTACAGCTTCAACGCAGATATGACATACTGGTTTATCTTTCACAACTGTAAAAAAAAATATTTCTAAGTCCATTCCTCATTGAAAGCACGGCACTCCGAATCAACTTAGCGTTTTTAGTAGCTATTTTGGCCATTTGTAAAAACAAGCACTAGCTATTTTATACATTTAATAATTTCACCATTATTTACAATAACGTCATACAATCTTTCCATACGCAATAAATAAAGATAGAACTCGAGGCGGCAGAAAAATCTGCTCGTTGGAGCTTAAAATATGCAGACTGCCACGCATGAAATACAATTCACATATATTAGATTCCGTATGTTTGCTCCTCGAGAAAGACAAACGCTCTTTGTCGCCAATCTACGGCTATTCTATAAAGAACTTCTTCAACATTTTACCAATTGAAGCTGTTTGTTCTATCAATTTATGTTTTGTAGAACACAAATAGAGAAAGTAAAAAGGTCATCAGTACTTTGTTAAAAAAGAAAGAACAAAAATCAAGAAAATGGATGTATATTGTTTATATTCGCCACAGATCAGCAAGTTAAAATTCTATCCGCTGACAGGATAAAACCTTCCTGCTGGCCACAGTTGGCCCGTGGGCCGTAGTTTGACATCCCTGGTCTAGAGCCTCGAAACTTCAGGAAGGTATATATTAGGCTTTTGTAGCCAACGATGCCGCAAAGATCACTAATATGATCGCCAAATGAGCGATGCTCCTATTGTTAATGAGAGAACTCTTCCATTGTTATTAAACTGTTATTGTGAAAGACGGCAAGTTAAAATTTGGATTTTTGGGAAACTGGTGTGTAATAAACGAAATTTAATTACAGATTCGTTATTGTCAGTCAAAAATTTTTAAGAGACGCGCATGAAAAATCATTTGTATAGTGTAATTTATTTTAAAAAAAGTATTCTGATGTTTTGAGTTCCAAGTTGACGAAAACATTTTAAAAGTCTCGTGAAATATGTAAAATGTGCATTAAATTGTCAGAAAAGCATCCTGCAAATCAAACCATTGGTAATTTGCACAAGTATCGTTAATCTAATTTCAATGGGTACAATTCACTATTAATATCGCAAAAAACTTTTACGGTATAATAACTGAAATTAAAGTCGTTACGATTCATCATTTTCTTTTAAAATTATACCGTCTCTGGTCACCAACAGTTGAGAGATGAAATTCGAGAATTAGCATTTCTTAACACAATAAAGACCCCCTATCTTCATTGGGTTATAATAATGAATCAAAACTTAGTAAATTAAGGTGAACGCATAGGTCTTACGAACGTAGTCCTATGGGTAGTTACGCAAGAGTGTGAAATCTCTCTTCGCCATACGACGGGAGAAACTTTTCGTCGCAAATTCTTTTTTGCCTCCGTAACTAATTTGTAATTTGAAGTACAGAAGAAGTGGGTTCTAACAAACCTAGAGTAAGCCATAAATTTTCAAACATTGAAAATAGTTTTTTAAAATGTCACAATGAAAATAAATTATGAGAAGATAAATTAGTATCACACAATGGAGAAGTTATTCTATCAATTAATTTCTATCAATTATTCTTCTATTAATTTGTTCGCACTTTGATATCTCAAAATTTATTTTTCAGCAATTGAAACTTCATGGATTGCTCTAGGATTGCCTGAAATCACTTTTTTTCGCCTTTTAAATTAGTAATGGATATAAAAGAGAATGTGCGATGAAATATTTCTCCCGTGGTATGACGGCCTTTTAAGAACGTAAGCACTTACTTAAAATATAACACTCGTCCTTTAAATGGCACGGGAAACATGTTCCTGCGGAGCTCTTGCAATTCACAATGATCAACAGCAACTTTGTCCAAATATGGGAAATTTGCCAGAACACCTAAAATAATGCTCATTTGAATAATATAAAAATGTTGAATATACAAAAACTTTGCTACGTATTTGTTTTTCAAGGTCCTATTGGTCGAAAAATTCATATGATGGGGAAAATCTGATGAAACGTTTGGAAATATCTCCTAGTTTAAGGAGCATTTTCAATTCAGTTAAAACTTGTTAAGTGAGGATAAAAATACGATGTAGAATATTCACTGGTGTGCAAAACTTAAGCAACAAGTGCGTTTTTTGTCATAACTCTACAAGAAATCATCCGATTGACAAGAAATTTGAATATGATGTACATTATTTTGTACTTAAACGATGGTAAAAGAATGATGGCGCAGAAATGAATATAAAGCTTAAAGTAGGGTATAGAACAAATAAAGCTTTATTTGACTTATAGTGGCGTTAAACATGATTACCTGAAGAAGCGTAAGTACAACTGGCAGATGTTCCGTAGTATGGGATAGTGTAATGTACTGGAATTGTTGCTTGGCATCGTCTCTCCATGCTAAGCACCAGATTATCCAGGAGTTCTTGGGGTAAACGTCTCCATTCCTCCTTTAACGCATCTTTCAGCTGATGGGTGTTACCAGGAGGATACTGTCGTGTCGCAAGACTTCTCTCTAATGCATCCCACACAAGCTCTATGGGATTTAGATCTGGAGAGTAAGCTGGTCAATCCATTCGTGTGATATCTTCACTTTGCAGTAGTTCTTGAACATTAGCAGTACGGTGTGGCCGGGCATTGTCATCCATAAAAATGAAGTCTGTTCCAATGGCCCCTCGGAACAGACGCACATGGGGTAGGATTACCTCATTGCAGTAGCGGTCTCCAGTTACAGAACCTCGGTCGAAGATCTGAAGCTCAGTCCGCCCGTTCAACATAATGCCACCCCAGACGACAACTCCAGGACCACCGTAACGATCTCTTTCCGCGATGTTATTGGGATGAAATCGAGCTCCAACCTCTCTCCAGATCAACTGACGTTGAGAATCGCTTGTAGCACTAAAACGACTCTCATCTGTGAAGAGGACGCGACTCCATTGATGAGGTGTCCAGGTTTCGTGTTCTCTGCACCACTCTAAACGGTGCCGCCGATGGCTAACTTTTAAAGGTATGCAGCGTTCAGGACGTCTAGCAAATAAGCCACCTTTGTGGAGGCGTCTGGCCACTGTAAATCTTGATACTTGTCGTCCTGTGGCTGTGCACAGTTGCTGAGATATGGCGCTCGCTGACTGAAAACGGTTTCTTTTCGCCTGGAGGACAATGTAACGGTCATCTCTTGGTGTTGTTTTCCTTGGACGGCCACCACCAACCTTCCGAACAGCTGTACCAGTAGTTTTAAAGGCATTCCAAGCACGAGAAGCAACACTTTTGTTGATCCCGAACTCCGCCCCTCCTCAAACTTCCCAATCATTCTTCCTCCAGTAAAGTCGTCTAAATGATTTCTTGAAGACATGTTTCACAAAACAAATAACTTGCACTTGCAGCGAATGTCTTTAACTACGGTGCTCTTCATCCTTTTATCACAGCTTTGACCTGCGCGGCTTTGACCCACAAGGTTTACGTACACTTACATCACCTACGACGTTTTATTTCTAAAATTTGCATACAAATAATCCTTCTACTGAATTATGTGCATATTATTCTGCAATTTTATGGCTATCTTATACTTTGTTGGGGAGCTGTGGCCGAAAAACCACTTGTTGCTTAAGTTTTGCACACCAGTGTGTATATATATAAAACTGCCGTTGAGCAGCCGACCCAATTTTGGGTTTACGACGACTAATGTTCAATTTCGTAGTCTTGTAATTTTATTTTGAACCTAATCCAGAACACAAGAGAACTCCTGGAGATCAAATATTGAGAGCAATTTTGCCTTTGTGGAGGACTTCTTGATGGAAGTAACCCGCATTTGCGTTACATAGAGAGGAAAACAGCCAATGGTTAGCCTGAAAGCAAGAGAACTCTAACCCATGATCCGTCTACCACTGACGATATTTTACGTCATCACTGTGGTCGGTGCAAGCCGGATGCGGAATTTGTATTCGTATTCTTTTTCATAGATGGCGCCACTGAAAAACAAGAAACGCACTCTCTGCCTTAAAAATTCTCTTGATTTCTCAAGCAGGCTTGCTAATATTGGCAAGTAGTATAAGTACCAACAACAACGAAAACCAGTTAAATCCTAACACAATTAGAATTCTATCTTTTATCTTCTTCTACGATTGCTATTGCAAATATGGTTGCCACTTACAGAGTAAACTCTTCTTAAAAATGAACTATAAGGAGTTTGAAAAGTCTTTTTAGAAAAGATTAACAACAGCAAAAGAGAGAATAAGAAAGAATAAAACTCCCCGTGGTCGCATATATATGGATATGTAATCAGAGTCAAGTCAATTATCGTATAGGCACTTATACTAATGGCATTTAGCAACACAGGCTACTTCTAGGTGTGTTATTTAAACAATTGAATTCTACTTTCGCATCGTAATAAACTGAATTAAACTTCTTTCTTAGGGAATGGTGCTTTTTAAATTTCTTTACCTTTGTCAACCACTACTTATGTAGTTATCCATAAAACTGACAATTATTTGATCGCCATTAAAAGACAAACACCACAGACATAAATTATTTTATTTAAACCTTGTTCGGGTAATATTGTCTTGATTGAACTTTTATTATTGTTTTGAAAGAGATAGCTTGTAATAATCGATATTATCTTCCTATTTACTTTTATTGTGTGGGACATAACAGCAGCAGAAGAAGAAAAGCAAAAAAAAAATATAGGCCAATCATGGTCTAAAGATGAATAATCTTATCTAGTTAAAAATTGGTGTCACATTTGAATTTATTTAACATGCAGTTGAATTCATTAATTGTTATCTTGTTATCATTGCTTTTCAAAAGAGTAATACCTTGATCTTTTAATTCCTGAAAACAAAAAGTGAAAAAATTCGTAATAAGCGATTAAAATAATTGAGTTTCATCTCTTGAATAAACAACATTTCTTCTTAAATGCTTTAATTTTTTTTTTCAAATTTCAAAAACGTAAAAAAATTTTGACTAAAAATAAATATCATGCTTTGCTCTTATCATCCGTTCTTATCCTAGTTCTTTGAATCAGAAATTCGCTTAATTAATTAGGGTGGATGTCTATATTTATCTTAATCACTTTTTGAGACCTAATTCTTTTCCATATCATTCTTAATAATCAAGTTAATAGATGAGATATCCCACGATAATAACTTTTTCTGTTATCAATAAATTCATTTTAATTAAAATTCCTTCTGATTTCTTTTAAAATCAAATTGTTTCTTGTTTCTCGGAGGTTTAAAGTATTGCTAGGTGTTTGTTACTAAATATAGATATTTATACAATTAAACTTGAAATACACTTTCTTTTATAATTCAAATAGTGATACTTTTCAATTGATTCCTTCAAAAAATTGACGTAAATTGATATCGATATTAGACGAAAAATTTCCTACTCTAAACCGATATTAAATTATATTAATTTCATAAGACTTCTTAAAAAGATATCGATGTAAAATGAAAAGCCCTTTGTTCTTTATATCCTTTTTTTATCATAATTATTTATAAAGTTTTTCGTACTTATTTTGGCACTTCGTTAAGATTTAAAAAGCATGAGTATACAATTTTGTGCTACATTGTATTGTGTGCTACATATCAAAAAACAGCGCAAATAAAGCACAAATGATGACACGAAAATGAACAACGGTGCTATAAGCAAGAATCTTCCTAGGTCAGTGTTTCCCAAAGTGTGGTACGCGTACCCCCAGGGGTACGGGAACAGTTTAACCGGGGTACGCGTTCTGTTGCAACAAACGAAAATTTCAAAATTTTTTACTTAAAAACAAAGCTAGCCATGAAAATTTACGATGACGTACTTTTCTATTGGCTATTTTTTGCAGAGTTAACAGTTAATAATTAGTGGTGTCAACAACCAGTTGTGATTTTTAACTTTGGTGCAATTTTTTAATAGTAAAAATAAAGATATTTTTTAAAAAAATATATTCATTTTTTAGGAGTGGTACACAGCGTTACGAAAAATTTAGAGAGGGTACACAGAAGTCATAAGTTTGGGAAACACTGTCCTAGGTGACGAAACCGAAAATAATAAAATAAAACACGAGACAAACAGATAGTCTTTATGCATGAATGTACGTTATAATTTATGACGACGTCTGTGATTGTTTCAACTACTTTGCTTTTCTCTATGTACACGTCTATCATATTCGACTTGTCTTACAATCTGAAAAATTGGTAAAAAAGGAAGAAAAAAATCGCATGCCAAACAAGGTTACATGAAAAAATATTTTAAATGTGATGATTTGAGCTATGGTGGCTCAGGGGATAGAGCTCTCGAATCCCAAAGAGGTGACCCGGGTTCGAATTCCAGCAATGACTGGTCGATACGAATTCCGCACCCGGCTTGCACCGACCGCAATGATGTTGTAAAATATCCTCAGTGGTAGATGGTGCACGTGTTAGAGTCCCTTTACCGTTAGGCTAAATGTTGGTGGTTTTCCTCTGAATGTAATCTGGTAAGTTCCAACAAAGAGTCCTCCACGAAGGTAAATTTCTCATAATACTTGATCCAAGAGTTACCTTGTCTTCTGGATTGGGTTCGAAAGTACAAGGCTATGGAGTTGAATATTGGTAGTAGTAAACTCAAAATTGGGTCGGCTGTTCAACGACGGCAATAAAATTACGAAATAAAATTATAAAATGGGATAATTTGATCCAACTAATTAATTCCTTTTCACTGAAACTAAGTACATATGAGTCCTTATATTACTTGCAACACCACGAATGATAAAATATTCAGTTGTAAATTGGTGCAATGCATAATCATCTAGTGAAAGATAGGGATACCCTATCTTTCTAGTGAAAGATAAGGTATCCACACAAGCTGTAAATTGACAGCTTGTGAATATCCACACAAAACACAAATCTGTAAATTTCTAAATTTACCCTATCTTTCTAGTGAAAAGATAAGGTAAATACTTTAGAAATTTACAGCTTTGTGTCTTTTCCCAGAATTCGAAATTTTACGAAAATCGTGAAAAATTTCCAGCCAAAGATCTGAGCCATGATCGTACAGATTGAGCTTTTATGTATCAACGTATTCTTGGAAAACACTCATGCTAAGCTGTTGATTATAGCTCGTTGTAAATCAACGAAAATCGAAGAATTTTATCGAAATTTCTCTGTAGCCTAACAACGGAAAAGAATTTGATGAAGCTTCCCTAAACAATAGATTTTTTGAGAAAATCTCCTCAAAGCAATAAAATCTTGCAAAATATAATTCCTTAGACAGCGAATTCTTAGACAAAAATTTCCCCTATAGAGTTTTTGACACAATGTAAATGAAACATTATTAAGTGTTTTATAGGTAGTTAAAAGCTCTCCAAACTTCTGATAATTTGGCAAACAAATGAAATCAAAGGATTTTGTTAATAATAATGATTCGATTTCAAATAATAGAATGTACTTACCTGGTTTGATGTCAGTTGTTTTGGTCTCATAAAAAGAGAGTTGTTGCAAAGTTTTTGGAACATATGTGGCAAAATCGTCTCCAATGATATCAATCTGGTTTGAGTAGACGTTTAATATTCGAAGATTAGTCATCGGCGTCAGATGCTCCCAAAGTATTCCTCTTTGTTAAAAATGAATAAAAAAGAAAATACATGAAAAATCTATATTTCACAGATAAAACTGATAGCTCAAAAAGTTATCGATATGCTTAGATTTAACATGGCAGTATCTTAAAGCAGTTCAAATCTCTGACATATACTATCAAGCCAATTCTGATATCAAGCTATAGAAATTTCCGCGATAGTCAAACGCATTAAATCATTAAAGGATTCTATGCTATTTAATTCTGACGGTAATTTACTAACATAAATTTCTTGTTGCTTACTCCTTTCCGCATTATGTTATTGCAATATTCTACATGTTTTCTTTTTTGTGGAATACAGTATCTTTAAAATTGAACTGACTGTACTGAAAGGCCCATAGCTTCGGTTCGGATCGGGATGAAACTTCAAATGCATGTTACGTAGATCATGCGGTCGAGGTTTCCGCCGAAAAAGTAGTTCCATATTTTTTCTATAGATGGCGCTGGGCTGCTAAAATCATTGGCAAAAATTAACAGCGTTTGTAATTTCTTGATTTAAACGGCGCATATAATATGACGTAAACATTTTATCACATTTCGAACATGTCGCTCAAGAAGAAGGACCGCGCATTGATTGTGAAACTCATTTGTCAGAATGAAAGCAGATGATGAGTGCAGCTGTTGACAACGCAGTCGTACGTTTTCAATATATTGTTGACCGATAATGTAGGCACATAGAACACATAGATATGTGAATAAATAAAATATTGTTTTATGTTTTAACTTTTATATTTTTTATTTCCTTTTTTATAGCACCAATAGTTGACAAAATTTCGAACAATGTTTTTTTCGACGGAAACTACGACAGCATTATCTACAAAACATGCCTCTGAAGTTTCAATCACATTCCTTCAGTAGAACTCAAGCTACGGGCCTCTGATTATTGCTAGTTTAATTTTAACCACCTTGTATTTCTCTCAATTTTTAGGAGTTCTGAAATGTAAATGATAGACAGGTTTCTAAATGATAATGATATCGTGGATAATAACATAAGTGATAACAATGGATTTCAATGATACTAATCTAATCATAATCAAAATGATCTAAATGGTAACAATAGCTAAGTGATAATGACTACTTCGGCTTGGGCCATAGTAGCAAAGAATATATCGAAAGAAGTCCAGCTCTTCGAATACATAACTAACGCGAAGAACTGTCCAGTTCTTTATGCCATACCAGAAAAACAACGTACAGGGGGAGCTGATATAGCAGAGTATTATACGTACTAAGATCCAGTACAAACGCATAAGAAGCAAAGTGACAGTAGGTACGTCACTGTGGACCGGTTGTTAGACAACTGGTCATGTATGGTTGAGTATACGCTGTCTTCCGCCAATCGTCATTTAATTCTGTCTTTCTATCTCAAAATATGTTAGGAGATTTAGTCTATATGGATGATATAAATGCGTTCGCAAATCGGAAAGAAATATCTTAATAACTAGCGCAGTATACTGCTCTTTTAGCGATAGAAATGGGCTACAGATGACGTAGAGCAGAACTCTCTACCTATGGCAAACATTTCACATGCTTTCACCATTAGCGTGTGGAGAGTAATGGAGGAAGAAAATACGTTAGTTTCTGTTTTGATTTTCAAATAGATTAAAATCTTTTAAGTTAGGAAACTATATGGAACTGAAAACCACGTTAAACATAGTTCTAAAAGAGAGCGTCATGGAAATTTTAAAAAATATTTTTAACAATTAAATACGAAAAATATTAAGAAAAGGAAAAATATCGTGGTACATTCCTATATAACTGAAAAAAGAAGGAGGGGGAAGGGCCAAATGCATGGAACCGATCTTCTCCCCAGATGGTGTATTGAGCGTTGCGATCGCCTATGTATGGTGTTTTCTACACTAGGGAACGCTGCAAGCTCCATACCACCTATACTTCCGGGTTACTGTTTCCGGTGTATTTTAAGGCCATTTGGCTCACAACGTGATCATTGTGTTTTGAGATTCTTGCAAACGTGGTATTTGATTACTTATTACTTGTGTTTACAATGCTAAAGGTGCTAACACTAACGTAAGATGGTGCACGGCTTGCAACAAGAGCTAACAGTAATAAACAAATGAAAAGAGGCCAAATCATGACTGCCAAAAAAGCGAGTTATTCAAAATCTAGCAACCACGTCACCTTACTTAACAATATATCTTTAAATAACTAAAACAAATGTTTCACTTCACACTCACCAGAATTACTTTATAACATTAATATCTTATGAAATACGGCTGATTTGAACTCAGAAATTATCTAATTTACTTCTTTTATTAAAAACAGAATTATCCGTTTGAAAATATCGCCTCGCAGAATAAGCTGTAGTAAGCAGTTTCAAACTTTCCAACCGGAACTAGAGCAGGTATAGAGCTCGAGATTGTTATTGTTTACATTTGTATTGAAAACACCATCCATAGTGCAAAAATGCAGAACAAACCAACAATAAGTAAAAAAAGAACATTTTCCGTCTGTAGGGAAGAGACCTATAGTGATTGGGAGGAAAAGACGCCTCTACTTGTGGGAAGGAAGATGGTGATATAATGATCCGATGGTAATGATCCGACCACTTTTAAATTTTATCGCTCATAAAGGGAAAACCCGTTTCAAAAACCTGTGCTGCTGTAGCCCGAAATGTCGCTTTTTTCGTTATACGACCACACCAAGCCTTGGGGGGCCGGTATACATTATGTCTATCGAAGCTACCCTTCTTCCTCCATGTACATTCTTTAGTTGTAGATCACACACACAGATGGATGATATCACGATAGAGTAAGAATATTTATTATTTAGTCAGCCTGTTGACTTTTAACATGGCTGTTTATATCTGGTTATCTGGGCTTTATAACAGATAAATAACCTAAATATTTTAAAAGTTATTAAGATTTTTTAAAAATCGCCAATTTGGCGACATTTTCCCACCATTTTCAAAATAAACGTAGACAGCGCTGGTATTAGATAGGCTAAACTTGACCTAACAGTCATGAGTAACAGTTGCAAACACACAGCAGTTATAAAAATATCATATTATTCACAAAAAAAGCATAATTTCAAATTACGACTGAGCCTTTGAAAAACAGTCTTAATAACAGTATGAATATTGCCTACTGACCTGAAAATGTATGTCTTTTCAATATGAATAGTTCTTAAACTTTCAGTTTCTTCCGGCGTTTCATCAAAAAGCTGAACAAATGTTGAATTATAAAACTCTAACTCGAGAACTTTGGTATTTTTAAACAGATTACTGGGTAGGTATTGCAAAACTGAATTCGCAAAGCGAACCTGTCAAAAAGAAAAGAAAAAAAAGAGAGAGAGAGACACACAAAAAATAGTATTAGAGTTTGTTGGACACAAAATGATTTTTATTTTACAATGTTTAATTTGCTAATTTTGTAAAATATTAACACTTTGTATAAATTATTGTAGAATGTTGATTAATATTCAATACACTGTAAAAACTGTGGCTTATTATCTCACCGAATTTTTTGTTGAGCAACCCAAATTAATGTGAGGAGGGACACTTTATTTCGAGTTTACACAAATAATGGGGTAAGTATTTAATTTATTTCGCACTAGAACTGCACAATGGGCTATTGGCGACGATTTGGGAAGCATCCCTGAAAATGATCCGAAGACATGCCATTGCAGTTTCGATCCTCTGCTAAAGGGATGGTTTCTCCGCTTTGGTAGCCCAACGATCTGCGTGCGAAGTCGAGCACTTTACGGTAGAACATTTTAACGAGGACCGATACCGCGCACACTCTGCCTAACGTAGGCTAATCAAAGTGGTCATCCACCTGCTTACTGACCGTAGTCAATGATGTTTGACTACAGTGTTCCACTGGGAACCGTGTCTTTAATACCTATAATGGAAAGTGCTTTTCACCAAGCTCACGCGCATTCACAGCATTATTTTTGCTTCCAAAAGCCCCAATTTTAACGTACTTGGGATATTGTCAGAGTAAGCTGTTTACAATCGAGTGCGAAATGGCGTGAGTTTGTTGCCTATTTTTTTTTTTTTTTTTTTTTTTTTTTTTTTTTTTTTTTTTTTTTTTTTTTTTTGTGCTATACATCTAAGTGAACAAACGTTCACAGTCAGAAAATGGATGTCATGTGATAAGAATAATTTTGACCCAGTTTTAAAATATCTGTTAGAAATTTTAAATAATTTTATAATTTCTATCCGCCACTACTGTTCAGCTAAGCGTAATTTGAATTCGTTTTAAGGGGACGCCATACCTCGGGAGAGTCATTGCAAATTCTTTTTCACCTCCGTAACTCATTTGAAATTGAAAATATAGATATAATGAGTTCAGACAAACCTAGAGTGAGCCATGAAATTTCAAATATTGAAAATAAATTTTTAAACTATTAAAATGAAAATAAATTGTGAGATGATAACTTAGGATTACGCAATGGAGAAGTTCTCTTCCAATAATTTGCTTGTATTTTGAGTCTTTAAAATTTTTTTAAGCAACAGGAACTTAATGGCTTACTCAAGGTTTGCGTGTACTCACTTTTTCTTTTTTCTAAATTAGTAATGAAGATGAAGAGAATTAGCGATGAAAAGTTTTTCCCGTAGTATGGCGTCCTCTTATTATTATCTGTGTTCTGTGTAAGTTTGATTCTGCAACTAATTTTATTTTAAGAGTAATGTAGCACTCTCTAAATTAACTGCTCTTACTTTAAATTGTATCGCAAAAAATAATTTTACTGACCTTTATGACTGTCAATTGTTATTATAAATTTTAGTAAAACTGAACACCAAAAATGGGGAAATCTATTTTACACCAAAAGTAATTAAAAAGAACCTTCCATCGCACACCCCCTAACACCAAGAAACTACAAGTGGTATTTCACTTTACTACTTTTGGTATAAGGTTGCTGCCATCATTTTTGGTGTTAAGGTACACTAAAATTTCTCACAGAGTAAGAATATTTTTTTAAGTTTCAAATGGAATGCACCAGAAATTCCCAACTGATGGTAAACGTCCACCGATGGTGCGTGAAGAGCTCACCGGTTGTAAAATGCGGGTTTTTATAATTAAATTTTCCTACTCAGAGGGTTGTGCAGGATGTTCCATAACATAGGGGGACATAAAATCACACTTGAAGTCATGCACTTGAGATTTAATAAGTAAAAATTGGTGGAAAAAAATTGCCAATAGATGACGCTGCATTGCTTTGTATCAGGTGTCAGGAGGAAAATTTCGACACTTCTGATTATGTGCTCCATGCAAGGGTAACTAAGAGGTTCCTTGATCTTACCTTTATGACTTCCGATTGGTAGGAGACTTCTGGTCGTTAACTGGTTCTTTCTTTTCTTAACTACTTTACCATACCTAGACACCACTTTTATATCTATAAATAGCTGCAGCCATTCAAAAATTGAAAACATAGATATGAGTTTAACTAGTGTGTTAATAGTTTAGTGTAGTAAATGTGTATATACTGTTACTAACATGTACCGCAAGTGCAATTTTCGAAGTTACTAATTGTAAGCTGGGGCGAAAAGTTTGGAAAGGAAATGCGTTCTCGTAAACAAGGGACGAGTTGCATGCTCGTAAACCTTTCAAATCATTAACCTATTTAACCGGTTCAGGACCAACGGAAGACGAAAAAAAAGTTCTTTCTAACCCCTCCCCCCACGTTCCGAGAGTAAACGTCAAGGGACCGGACGATTTATCCCGTTAAGCCTAATTTCATTTAAAAATTCATATGTAATTATTGCTCCAAATAAATGCACTACAATTTACATTTTATTGTCATTGATAGTGCATGAATATAAAAATGTTCGCGATATTTAAAAAAGCAATCACGAAACTGACCTAACATTACAAAACTCTGACCTAACAATTACAAAGCTAACCTAACAATTACAAAACTGACCTAACTAAAAACTGTCTAGCAACTCTCAGACTACAATCGACAAGTCTGCACTCTCATAAACAAGCAAACATTCCATCTTTTTTGTTATAAAATGCATTTATTTTACTATGAGTAATCTTCCAATTCCATGTCTATTGTGTTAGACACTGGCTAGCACTGTTTAATTGTATAATGCATAACTTTTAATAAAATTCACTTCGCTGCTCAACTATCTTATTCAGAGCTCTAGCTCATCAACCAATTATTAATTATCATGTTTATTTGAAATAAACTCCTATTTTAAAAGGCAATCTTTACTCCTATTTTATCTGAGTTATTAATACCTCATCTTATTTCATTTTATAACCGTCATTGAACAGCCGACCCAATTTTTGGGTTTAAGACTACTTATGTTCAATATCGTAGCCTTGTAATTTTGAACCCAATCCAGAAGACAAGGGAACTCCAGGATCAAGTGTTGGGAGAAACTTGCCTCAGTGGAGGACTTTTTGATGGAACTAACCCGCATTTTCTTTACATGGATGGATTTGATGTTTGAACAAAAATAAATAAAGTATCGCGTAAATATCTGCAACTTAAGTTCGATTTAGCGCAAAGCAAATATGTGACTCAAACAGAGATGTATTCAACTCAAGTTGAGTTCAAAAAATGTCACTCTTTTTTGAGAAGGGGAATTAACTTATTCATTTTAAGTGAGTCTAATAATAATTCAGAACGTTTGAATTAGTTGGCTCCATATATGGCAGTACTTTTACTCTCGTTACTTGTACCGCCGGTACAAGTAAAAAGTACGTACTTTTACTTGCACTTCGTTACTTTTTAAATTTAGTACTTTTACTTGTACTTTCGTTACTTTTTTAGGGAAAAAGTACAAGTATTTGTAACGGAAATGTCGAATGAAATCGTTACTTTTTTTTAAAACTCGGTAAGCTTTCTGAAAAAAAATAATAATAAATAAATTAAAAAAAATTGCTTTCGAAATGCAATTATTTTGCAAAATGAATAAAAATATTAATTAGCAAGTTATTTTCATTCATTTTCGAGTTTTATGCATTTGTTTAATACATTTTAAATAAAAAATTTTGGATTTTGTTATTACGTTTTTCAATTTTCTTTTTGAACTCACTAATAATACATTTTTGTCTTAATACATTTTTTACTAAATACATTTTTACCTAGTACATTTTTTACTAAAATTATGTTTATGCCCGACCTTGTCAAACAACGCCCAGTCAAATCTCTAAGAACTTCAGAACTATTTGTGCTATTGAAAACTATTATAATTACTATTTTAACTCTTGAAAACTCGAAGGTATTAATTTAGCCGCTGATACTAAAATTCGTTTACAAATTTTAATTATTCCGTTAGGCAGAAATGTTCGGAAAATGATTTTCTCGCATGACTTCAGCATTAGCCATTGTTACAAATAAAACTGTAGACTGTTCTGTTTCAACTTATACTGCACATTCAATTATTTTTTACTAGCTCAAAGATCACAAAGCTATCTGAAACCCCGTGTTTGCTTTGTTTATGTTTGTGCTTTTAAAACGCGTTTCTATAGAGTAAAACAATTTTAAATCAATGGTAATTTAAATAAATAAAAATAATAAACTAAAAATTAAAATCAATAGATAAAATTTCTTTTTCGTGCAAATCCATAAAAAGTTTGATATTAAAATTATATTTGATTTTAAAATTATATTATACGATTATATTATAAAATTATATTATAATATTCTTCCGAATTTAAAAATAAATTAATGTCCATAACTTTCAAAATTAAAAATAATTAAATAAATAACAACAATTTTGCAAAAACATTAAAGAACATAAGAATATTATTCAATAAAATTTTAGGTTACTTTGAATTTTCGATTTCCTAGAAATGTACTTTTAAATCGTTACTTTTTTTGTTTAGTACTTGTACTTTTACTTGTACTTTTTACTCGTTACTTTTTAAAATAAGAACTTTTTACTTGTTACTCGTTACTTTTTTTAAAAATACTTGTACTTTTACTCGTTACTTTTTAAAAGTAACGTTGCCATATATGGTTGGCTCTATGTTAATATTTTGATAAACTATTATCGAGAGTTTTTTTTAATATTTTTATTCTTTCTTTGTCTTAAACTCATGTGCTCACATGACGCGTGTGTAACGTCAGACTATCTTTCTATTCAGTATTCGAAGATATTTGCAAATTTAAAATTATTTGTTATTCGATTCGTTAGCTTGTAAAAATTAATGTCTTCATCTTACCTACGAATTAATTTATTTCCGTCGTTATTTTTTCTTCTTTTTTTTTGTATTTACTTATGAAATAGTTCTTTATTTTTTAACCAAAAAAGAATGAAAGCAAAAGCTCATCGTGGTCAAGGGGTTCGTGAAGGTTAAAGCACCTCAATTCCGCCACCAACGGCCTGATAATGGCAATGCAATAACCATTGCGGCCTTTACTTCCTGATTTCCTGATACTAGCTGACTTTACTAGACAAACTGATACCTATAGATCTAAAAAAGGGATCGGGATCGAACCCCAGTTCGTCACAGCAGTTTATTGCCTTACTCACTAAGCAATCGTAGCTGATTTAGAAGAATAATTATTTATAAAATCGCTAAATCAGCGGTGGAACATAGTATATAGTGAAAATATTAGCAGCAAAATAATTTGTTTATTGAAATAAATTAATTACATATCTATTTGTGATTTGGTCAAATTAAGAATTTGATTTGGCAAATTACTAATATCCTCCTTCCCTAAAATATAAGTTTGCAGTGCCCTTCACAAAGGTAAACATTAATTATTTCTGCTACCTTATATTCGTTTAAGTATGTTTTTACAAACGTGGGCGCGTGGTCATTCATGTGCCCAATCCTCTCGAAAAAGCCGCACAAGCGCAGTTTTTAACATATTTAAATGCCTCAGATCAAATGAAAATAATAATTTGGACCGTTGAACCCATGTCCAAGCGGGTCACGAGTTCGATCCTTGCCGACCGAAGACTTCCTGTGTAGTAAATCGCGACTGGTGCGCGTTAAATCTGTCGGGTCACAAAGTCCTCCATGTTTCTATATCAAATCATACCTCGGGTACTGGATTAGAGATTAATACTTCTCTGGTTCAAGTCAAAATTACGATCTGTGGATAAATAAATGGATGTATGAATAATTCCGCCCTATAAATGGGCTATGACGTGTGTGTGTGGCGGAAGTCGTATTCTTAGCATTCATACATGGCGCCACTGAAAAATAAAAAACGCATCCTCTGCCTTATATTTGCTTGGTTTCACCAAGCAAGCTTGCTGATATTGATGGCATTAGAAACAACAACAAAACAGTAATAATAATACTAATAATAAAAAATTCAGAATCGAAAGCCCATATTCGAATGAAACTCTCTTTGAGACACCGCCATGCAGTGTTGTCAAAAATGGAAATTAAATGTTCCTTGAAATTAAGTGCGTGTATTCATGGGCTGCCGGTGTTGGAAAAGCTCAACTCATATATGATGCAGTGGATCGTAAAAGGAAAATTGCTTCATTACATAAATGTGACCACGATCTTGAACGGGTTAACTATATGCATTTTAAGATAAACGTAGGGTCAACAATCTTTAATAGTTAAATTATAATAATTGCTGGTAAATTGTATTAGTAAATTACATCATTCGTTGTAATTGGACAGATTTATTTAAAGGCTCCTACCTGATTATACGATATCCCTTTTGAGTTTAGGAAAACTCTTCGTAAAGCTTCTGTATCATCCACATTGTCACAGCCCAAATAAGGACGCGGATTAGGATTACAAAAACAAGGTTCCACGGGTAACTTAGGACAACCCGTATTAATTTGAGAGGTTGCCAGCGCAAACAAAGAGAGAATGTACAAACATATTAACTTCATTTTTAAGAACTTAAACTTTTCCAAACATTTAATTACGGTGTTTTAAATTTTTGTTCTATTTCAACGTTGAAGACTATTTAAAAATTCTACACGCATTGGTAGATGAAGTTGCCGATGAGTCGATTAAATTAGGTACTCGAAATTTTGATCGTTTTTTATAACAACAGATGTTCGCTTCTGATTTCTGTTTTAATTTTGTTTTCTTTATTATTTTGACTCAGATAAACAGATTCGAACGAATCTTGGGAAATTGAAGATAAGAAGCATAAGGCTTTAATAATGATATAATGAAAATCATATAATAATAATTGATATAATGTAAATGATATAATGAAAAATTTATTAATTAGAAATATACTAATAAGAAATTAGAATGTATTTATTTAATATATTTTCTGTGTATTATTAGTTTCAAGGCTGTTTTTCGAAAGTTTCGTCGTAATATCTAATGATGCTTTTTTGTGAATAATATGTTACTTTTATCACTGCTGTGAGTTCGCTACTGTTACTAATGACTGTTAAGCCAAGTTTAGCCTATCAAAAGTCAGCGCGGTCTAGGCTTATTTTGAAAATGGTGCAAAATTTCAATAAGAAGAAAGGCCACGGTTTTGTGAAAATGCAAATATCAATGTGGTCTGGTTTTTAAATATTTAAAAACTCATTCCAATGCTGCATTACTTGGGCGCATAAAAATTTGCAAAAACTAAGAATAAGGTAGTGATTTTTATAATTTTCATCTAGGGTAAAAGTGTCGCCAATTTGGCGACTTTTAAAAAAAGTTTAATAACTTTTAAAATATTTAAGTTATTTGTTTTTGTCTAAAGCCCAGACGGCAGGTTAGATAAATAATTTAAAATCATCGCATTGCTTCAAATCTAAGGCACTTAAACTATGGCTTTTTTATTTTCCTTGGTGACAGAGTTTCGAAAAACAGCGCTAAAAATAATAATAATGGAGAAGATTAATTCACCGAGACTCTTTTGACCGTTTACAAAATTTACCTGTGTATTTTATGATAAAGTTTGATGATCAGGGATTAAAAAATCCCTGATTCTCAAAATTTATCATAAAATTCGCGATCGCAACGCAATGCTTGAATCTGGGAGATGTCTTGGCCCTCCCCCTTTCCCTCTCCTCCTCTTTTCAGTTGTATAGGATTGTACTACGATATTTTCCCCTTTCTTGATATTTTTCATATTTAATTGTGAAAAGTTTTTTTTTTAATTTCCATGGCATTTTTTTAACTATGTTCAATGTAGTTTTGGCTTCGTATATTTTCCTGACTTTCCTGAGTTTTCCTGAGTTTTTAATCTATTTATATTCGCGATCGCAACACTCGAATACGCCATCTGGGGAGAGACCGGTTTCATGCCTTTAGCCCTTCTCCCTTCCCTCTCCTCCTCTTTTCAGTTGTATCGGAATGTACCACGATATTTTCCCTTTTCTTAATATTTTTCCTTTTTATTTAATAAGAATATTTTTTAAAATTTCCATAATACTTTTCTTTAGAACTATGTTCAATGTAGTTTTCAGTTCCATATAGTTTTTCAAGTTAAAAGATTTCGATCTATATGAAAATCAAGAGAGAAACTAACGTACTTCCTTCCTCTATGACTTTTCACACGCTAATGGGGAAAGCATGTGAAGTGTTGCCATAGGAAAATAGTTCTGCTCTACGCCACCTGCAGCCCATTTCGATCGCCAATAATAAAAACAGAAACTAACGTACTTCTTTCTTTTATGACTCTCCACACACTAATCGTGAAAGCATGCGAAGTGCTGCCATAGGTAAAGAGTTCTGCTGTACGCCACTTGTAGCACATTTCGATCACCAATTTCAATGGATCGACTTATTATAAATTATTTCATTTCTTAAATTTTTTTTTACATTAGATTCTTTAAGTTTTAGGAGAATATAATTCCCTATCAGGTTCTTATTTTTCCTGGACGACTGCCTGAATCACGCACAGTCAGAAAGACCTTTAAATATATTTCATCTATCAGATTCTCACACGCAGCTTTATTTAAGTCACACAAATAGATTAAAACCTTTTAAGTAAGGAAACTATATTGAATTGAAAACTACATTGAACATAGTTCTAAAAGAAAGCGTAGTAGAAATTTTAAAAAAATATTTCTTTAAGAAGGAAATACAAAAAATATTAAGAAAGAAGGGCATATCACAGTACATTCCTATACAACTGAGGAGAAGAAGAGAGGGAAACGGAGAGGGTCAATATATGGAACCGGTCTTCTCCCCAGATGGCGTATTCGAGCGTTGCGATTACGATGTTGAGCTGCACAATGTGCTATACGCTAGCTTTTCCTAACTGTTTCTGTTTAAATGTTTATCTTTCCCCCATAAGTAAGGGGATCTCCGATGCAAGCAAGAGAAGAGGTTCAACCGGTTTTATTGACGATCAAAATGAGCTACAGGTGGCGTAGAGCAGAACTCTCTACCTATGGCCCCACTTATCAAGCTTTCACCATTCATTAGCGTGTGGAGAGTCATAGGAGAAGGAAGTACGTTAGTTTCTGTATTGGGTTTTCAAATAGATTAAAAACTTTTAAGTTAAGAAAACTATATGGAACTAGAAACTACATTAAACATAGTTCTAAAAGAAAGCGTCGTGGAAATTTTAACAAAATAATTTTGACAGTTAAATTCGAAAAATATAAGAAAGGGGAAAATATCGTAATGTATTCCTATACAACAGAGGAGAAGGGAAAGGTCGAGATATGGAACTGGTCTTCTCCCCAGATGCCGTATTCGAGCATTGCAATCGCGAATAACAAGCTCTGCTTTGTGTAAGTTTGAGAAAAGGAAAACCACTTCGCACATTTCAGCTCTGAGATTCTGAGCTCTCAAAATCGACAGTCGATTCGAGCGTTTGGAAGTCGCACCAGAGGAACCTGAAATTCTTTTGGAATTCAAAGCTAGTTTCAGTCGAGCTTTTGTGCTCTTTTTAGTAGAGGCGAAAACGGCAGGTTCGAGCAGTAGAATTATTGGAAGAGTGTGGAATATTTTATTCATGAACTGACTAAGGTCTGAGTAATCTTTCTCCATACTGGCTCAAGAAAAATAAAATAAAACACAAATTAGTGATGATGATATGAACATGGATTGCGATAAATAAATAAATAATATAATACTATAGACTTTTTGTACATAAAAAAACACTATAAGAAATACCTTCTTTTAGCCATATGCTTTAAATTTTCAAGGTGATTTAACACTTAAATTGGATTGTCGGAACGTTAAAATTTTTGATTTAACAATAAAAATTCCTGATTGTCAAAATTCATCACTATCATAATAGTATTCTCGAAAACTGTAATTAAAGATCATGATATTTTTATAGTTATTTTTAAGTGCGACATAATTTTTTTTCTTTTCTTAACCTACTATAATTCAATTCGTGTTTGTCCACTTTTTCAAAGATTATACCTTTTTTTCTTCATAAAGTGACACTAAATTTATTGCTTGAGGACCTTACATAATCTAAGTAAATAAAAATAAGTTAGGGACAATATTTACAGATTGCGGGTACTCTTCTATTTCTTGATAGTCAAAAATCGAAATCATTTGGGGGAAAATGTTTACACTTATCGCTTGAATGTTCAATCATTTGAATCAAACTTATCCAGAAAGATACAGGATTTGTTTCTGGCTCACTGCAAACCACATTTACTGCAGTTTAATTCTGAATATGGATCATACAAATAATCTGCTTTATACGTGAGCTATTCACTGCGGGCATTTCACTTTTTGAAATACATATCTTACACTCAAGTATCCAAGTACTTTTTTCATTAAATTTTTATTGTCGTAAAAAATCCCCCAAATAAAGACTGAGACCTCTAAACAATAAAATTTTTATTAAGAATTTAGATTATATAAGGAATTAAAAAAAATTTATATCACTTCATCGGATTTCCCATTTTTCTGTTTTATAGAATCATCAATTTGTGCAGGGAAATGCGTACATAAAAAAGCACCTTTTCTACAGAATTTTAACTCAGCAAATAGATTTATTTCCATTTTGCAATATTAATTTATGTCTAACAAGATTTAACTGTGCTATTCCATTTCAGGTTGTTGTGATATAAAAAATAACTCAGCTTTTACTGACGCCAATGATTATTAATTAACTGTGATAATAGCTACCGAATTTTCTAATATAGGTTTTGTAATAATAGGCGTTTTCCAGCTCAGGAAAATCTTTTTTTCAGTCATTAGGGAAATTTAGAAATTAATTACGGTACTACTTTATTTTGAAATACCGAAGAAAAAGTCTGAAATCTTAAACCTAATTTCGTGTAATTAATTTATCTGTATAATTAATTAATTTATTTATTATCGGTCCCTTCACAAGCTAATAAAAGTAGTCTTTCATCCGCTCACTAATATTTGTCAGTGATGCTTGACTTTGCTAATTTACAAGAAACCATGCTTTATGATTAGTCAATTGTCAAACGAATGGCGCAAGGATGCTGCGAACGGCAAGGTAGCAATGAGAATATTTATATAGAAGTTGTGAAGCCTAGTATGTGTTTTCGTCAGTGTGCTCATCTAAAATGTTAAAAGTCAATTTACCCACCTCCGATTGCAGTCGAGAGGAAGGAACCTGTATGATGAGTTTTTCACTAGAAAATATAATTCTCCATTCGGGTTCTTATTATCTTTCGATGGTATTTGGAGACCCATAAATCGTAAAAACTGAGAATTGCGCTGTGCTTCCCTCTTTTTAAGAGCTACATGTAGGCGCAAGAGCGAAAATGCTGCGAGAATTTCGCCCCTGCAATTTTCGCAATAACTCACTGCATGCGAAATTTCGCAGATGTGAATACGGGGATGCAAGATAAAATAGAATTGATGAAACATATTAAACTGCAAAAAATGGCCATTCTGGATATGTTTTTTTGTTTTCATACGCTCATAAGAGAGTCATTGGAGAATTATTTTTACCCCTCATGTCTAGTCAGGCTCTCATGACTACGACAAAATCACCTCCATTGAAAACGGGTCAGAACTTCCAAATCAGGGTCTCATCCGCATCAATGAATTCGCATATGCGAATTTTTTGAGTACAGTGAAAATTGCCATTGTAATCATGGCACCAAACGTGCTTGTCGAAATGCCATCGCATTATTTCACTGTGACCGTGACGTAGCCCATAGTTGTCTCGTTCCAAAATTTGCAGCCGCGTGTTCGTCGTGTTGTAGCGGAGTAATAAATAATTCAGGTACGTAATATTAGAATTAATTTAAACTTTTGTTCGAAGTTTAGAAATATACGTATTTTATAATTTTTTTAAGCTGTATAGCATACTTTAACATGTTAATGCTTTAATGGGAAAGCACCAAGATAAGCCTAACGAATTCTGATGTCCAGTCTGTTATTATAATTTTAACATTTCTTAGACAAAAATCTAGAAAAATTTTAACGTGAGATTGTCAGAGCTGACAATTTATATTAAATTCATTATCTCTATTAGTTTTCTTGTACCATTTTAAAGTTTCGATAAGCTAAGATCCAGCTCCTGCATTCACAGGTTTTACTATGCCCTTATTTCATTTTGTTGCTTAATATTTATTTAGTTTAAGAGCTGAGAATGTTATAAATTGTATTCATGATTACATTATAATACTCAGGATATATTTTATTATTGTGCATCAAGTTTTGGATTAATTGTATAATTTTTCTATTGAAAGAACTCCCATCGCCAATAAGTGTAAGGTCGCCTGTTGTAGAAACAAACAAAAAACGCGTAGAGCTCCTCACCTTCTCATTAATTTTCTCTAACAAACGTAAGTTCGAACATCCACAACATTACTTGAAATAACTAAATCTTGTTATCACTGCCTTGATTCTCTCAAAAGCCTAGAGAGATTAGGCTTTTTGGTTTCTATTTATTCATTCGATGTTTATAAGATGAATTAACTAAAAAGTTATTTATTTACTCCTGAATAATTTTTATTTTTTGTGCTGCTTGTTCATTTTGTTTTTGAGTGATCATTTTTAAAAATCACAATCTGCAAGGCTTGGGAAAACTACAGTCACTAGGGTGCTGCATATTTACACACCTTTTTTGTTCAAATTATTGTGTAGCTTTTTCTTAACGTTCTCCTCAATATTTATATACTTTTTTTAATGAATTATTTATAAAATGAAAAGAAAATATATGTAATCATTAGGATTCAATTTTGAATGAATTCTAAATAGAAATTATTTTCTGAATTATGTAATTTAATTTTATCAAATGTTTGTTTAAAATTATTTTCCACCAATATGACTGAATATGCATGTGGCTTTTAGTTAGGCAACCTGTTGTGCAAGTGTCCCTTCAATCAAAAGAGGTACCTTAAGGCAGTGTTCCTTAACCTTTTTATCAGGGCAGGGACCTGTCAATGTTTGATAATTTTACCGTGGCCCGCTGGGGGGGGGGTTGCTTATATTTTAAATTATTTTGATACATTAACTTTAAATTAATAGTATTTAGACATGCTTCCTAAATAAAATACAGTTACCCCCAGAAAATTTATATAGAATGATTTAATATTCTAACTTATTAGAATGTTAAATCAATGAGAACCCTGAGCTTGTTTCTTTGCAATGAGACGGTTTCATCTAGGGTTAATCAGATACAATGATACTTTACAAACATTAAAAAATTTATGTCACTACCTTCGGGGGCCCCTTTTTTTAAATAAGTAAAATTTTAATGGAACACAGATATTTTTAATTTGGGGTATAAACCTAGGAATTTAAATTCAGTTTCAAAGAAATGGGCCGTCCGGTACCATTTGGTCCATGGACACTACCTTAAGGCATAGTCTTTTCCATTATCTAAAATTATGTTTTAATACTGCAAATGTAACTGGAAGAGTAAAAATTTTATTCACTTAGGGTGTATAGAGTATTCTTTTGTTATAAATCATTCAGCTCTTATACACGGAAGTAGTCTCTCAAAAGTGTGAGATGTCAATCAAGCTTTTCAGTTCTCAGGGGTCTGTCTAGGTTTTTCTGAGAGGTACCTATTTTGTGAAAATTTAGACATAATTTGTGAAAAATTAAAAATTATATTAAAAAATCAACACANATGTGCAAAACTGCTAATGTTTATCTTTAAAAATGTCTAATTTTTAGTATAATCTATACTATACACTAAATTTGGTTATAAATAAATTTCTTAATAATATCACTGCAGATTTTCAATAACACATGAAAATGAATACATAATATTACAAAAGATGTGAGCTTTCAAAAGTACAAGATTTTGGTTACTATTCAAAATATAAGTGTTTCCTCAAAATTTTCAATTTATTTTTTCTAGAACATATTTAGAAACACTATCCTTTATAAAAAATATATAAATTTTGTGCATTAATTAAATTTCACATTGAATATAGGTTTTTGACGTGACGGTTTAAACCATGGTTTAAACTGTCACATGTCAAAAACCTGCCAACCCTGACTGGAAGAGTAAAAATTTTATTCACTTAGGGTGTATAGAGTATTCTTTTGTTATAAATCATTCAGCTCTTATACAGGGAAGTAGTCTCTCAAAAGTGTGAGATGTCAATCAAGCTTTTCAGTTCTGCTATTAAAACTTATTTCCACAATAGTTAAATTATTCACCTATCAACACAATTAGTTAAGCTTTACTGACATCAGTTATAATTGGGCAGAATTTTTATTGATCTTTGAAATATATAGGTAGCTCTAATTGTATATTTTATGCAACTGACTTTTTTTTATATAATTCACAGACAAAATGTTGATGCCAAAAGCTCATCGTATAGCAATCTACGAGTACCTTTTCAAAGAAGGCGTCTTAGTAGCCAGAAAAGACTTCAATGCCCCAAAACATCCTGATTTAGAAAATGTACCGAATCTTCATGTTATCAAGGCTTTACAATCATTGAAATCAAAAGGTCTTGTAAAAGAACAGTTCGCATGGCGACACTATTACTGGTATTTAACCAATGAGGGTATCCAATATCTCCGTAATGTTCTCAATTTACCTCCCGAAATTGTACCAGCAACTTTGAAGAGGCAAGTAAGGTCAGAAACAACCAGACAACGACCTAGAGGTATGTTAAATTGCTATTTTTGCTTGCAATTACTAAATGACCTAATGCAATATTTTAGCAACTAAATATTTTAAGAGATCAATCCTCATGCCCTCAATAACTTTCTGTGCATTTTATATTATGAAATCAGTTGAAAATCTTTTTAACTGGTTTCTTTTCGGAGCATCGTCTAATGAATCTTTATGAATTTGTTAATATAATCATAAGTGAAACACCGATCCAATTATTATACTTCATTTACATAAAGTGCCTGCTTAGCAGGGTTTTATTTTCTCCAGCAAATTGAATTGACTTGTTTTCTTTAATATAAATCTGATTTTTTTTTTTTTTTTTTTTTTTTTTAAGTACTGCAAGTAAATTTCTTTAAAAAAAAATTATGGATTATAGTTTAATTGTTATTAAGAATTATTGCCTTTCAATCCAATAATAATACTTACTGCCAGAAAAGATGTCATCATTAACTAAAAAAAGCTGGTTTATAAAATCAAAATTGATTTTGCAGATGAATTTTTTCTTCATTTTGATTTGACGAAAATATACTTTTTACAGGGTAACAAATATTTCTGTGTAGAATAACTTAATTCTTTAATATATAAATGAAAACCACTGAAGAAAATTGCTATCTAAATTTCCATTTAAAAATTTAACAAATATTATTTTTAAAAAAAAACTTCATTGGCTGTTAGAATAAATATTTAAAAAAAATTATGTAGCAATCAAAATGTTATTTTAAGAATGCTTTTATGTATCGTGTGCTAAATCTTGTTCTAAATTATTTTGCTTATTAAAATTTAACACAGCAATATCTAACAAATTTTAATTAGCATTAAATGAATTAATTTCTTTAAGAGAATTGTTAAATTGAAATAATAATTATAATTGTTTTAAATCACATACCCAGAGGTGCCAACTTCCAAAAATCTGCCAATTTTAGTTTGTAGTTCACGACTGTGTTTTAAAAATATTTTGTGGAGTAGAATCCAAAGCAGTTGGTATCACAGCATACTTTTATTGTGTGTAGTAATCAAAACTTTAAATTACAATGTAATTTCATTGTCCAAGATATTACCTGGAGAAAAAAATTCCAGGTTAAAATGTTTGTACCAAGTTAAATTAAAAGCATTTCAACCTAGTTGAAGAAATTTATTTATAAGATGACGAAGTATGAAATGTTTGGAGTTAACAAATACCAACTAAAAAAAAACATATAAAACCACCTTTATTGACAAGACGTTTGATGCTAGTAGGTTTGTACCATTTATTTATGAGTCCATAATTTTTGCTAGAAGAATATCTTTGTTAAACTTATTTGCTAAGAGATCTCCCATATAATAACAATGTTGTGATTATATTATTGTACTCTTTTGTTAGTTTTTATAATATTCTCTTATGTAATACATGTAGTCTCATTTAAGTTAATGGAAGCTTAATTATTGATTCCTGTCATTTTTATTTATAGCTCCAGATGCTGCTCCCAAAACTGCTAGTGACAGAGAAGGTTACAGATGGGCTCCAGGTACTGAGTTTAATTAAATTAGTGCTTAAAGATGCTTATTTTTGATTTACCTGTTTTAAAAGCCCTTAAAGGTGCTTTTCTATTTGGGTTTCGTAAGAAGGGCTTAATTTTTTTTTATCATATCAATGGTTGTTCAGGGTGGCCACTCACCTGAAATTATCAGGGAATTTTTTTATACTGGGAAAATCGGGGAATTTTAAAGAAAAGCTGGAAATTTTTTTTAACTGCACTAATTTAAATTTACTAATTTTCTTACTTTAAATTATTTCATCAATTATACCCACTGTTTTTAAACTGAAATGTATCGCTAAACAATTGATATTTCATCAACTTAGCCATTACAGCTCTGTGAAAATAGAATGTCATATAAAATTTTCCCACGCTTGCTAGCCGAATGTAGAAACCTTTGACTGCTATGGGACTGTACAATTTAGGAAAGATTCTGGTATGGTGGAGAAAGGGATTAGGATATTAGCTTCTGTTTTTAAATTAGGTCCTTGGGCTGAGTCCATTTATTTCTCAAGTTTGTTCCTATGCTTTGGTAATTTTTTTTCTATTTGCAAAATGTTTTTGTATTTTTAACTTTATAAAATTCTCCAAAAATTAGTTGGTCATAATTTAATAATAATAGATTTTGTATTGCACTCTTTTTCTGAAAGCTTTTCTGCTCCCATTCAAAGAAATCTGTGAATTATTTTTTCTCGACAAACCAACCAATCACACATTTTTTTTTACAATCGCTAGCAGCAATGTTTGTCAACAAATTGTTGCATTAATGCTAATTTTTTCTATTTCATTTTAACCTTTTATAATATGTTTTAATTTTTAAAAAAAAGGCTTTTTTAAGAACCAGCTATATATATTTAATTTTACTGTTTTGTTGGTCAATATGATTTTTGATTCAAAATTTTGTACCAAAACATTAAAAAATAAATAAAAAATCTTGCCAAATTGTCAAAATAAATTATTTTTTTCAAGATATGTTTAAAAAAATAACATTGAATAAAATATTATGGACATTTTTCTTGTACACATTCTTGTACAAAAAAAGAAACAAAAACCTGGAAATTTTAAGACTTTTATCTGGAAAAATCAGGGAAATTTAAAATCTGATTTGAGTGGCCATCCTGTTGTTCTAAATTACAAAAAATGCATGATTTTCACAATTTTCTCTGCTATACTTATCAGAAACTAATTGTTTTATCATGTTATGTAAGGTTTTTGAAAGAGTTTTTGAATTTTATTGATTCTATGATTATAAATTAGGAGCTTAATTTTAAACGATAGAAGAAGAAAAGATAATTATTATTGCACAGATCCTAATTATGGCTTCTTTTTTTTTTTTGAGAGTGGTTAAAAATATTTCTTAGTGCTTAAAAGGTGCCATATTTATTGTTGAAAAATTTGGCAACACTATTGGATTTTTTTTTCCCCTTCAAGTTATCTTTTTTTTAACCCTTTCAAGCCGACTGTCACATATATGTGACAGCAAGAAACGCGCTCACTTCCCGGCCGACACACCCGCGTGTCAGAGAGTTTTCTCGTTCACCCCCGACCGTCACTTATTTGTGCCAGCGTTTCGGAACGTTTTAAAAAATGAAATTTCTTCCAAAATATGGCATTGTATGTCCATATGGTTTCAGATACATGTAGATTTGACCTTCTACTCAAGATGAAAGTACATTCACGTGGTTTTTAGGGGAAGGATAGGAGGGGGGGATGTTTTATGAGGACTCTTTAAATTAGCACGTGATATTTATTTACAGTGAGTAAGGGAGTTTTTTTTATCTCTCGCTACTTTCGATTTTCGGATTAGTTTTTAGTGGATAATTAGATCTTGTAGGCTTGAATTTTTTTTCTTTTTACCGTTAGAATGTCGAAGCGTCGAAAATTTTTAACTGAGCTGGAAATAGAGGAAATTATGCAAAATATTTAAACTTATTAATATTTATATTACATTTAAACAAGAAATAACTTAAGTAAATAAAGTATCCATAGAAATATATATAAAGCATATGTCACTTAAATACTCTACAGAACAATATTAAACAACGCGCTGATATTTCGGCAATTTCATGGAATTAGGCTTAACATCAAAAAACCCTCCGGCCCTGGGGAGACACACGCTAGAGAGACTGCCGGCCTCAGCGGTAAGCGCGCTTTGCGTCGCGAAAGGGTTAAAGAAAGAAAGGAAAAATGTGCATTACATTTTTGTAAATCTTTTTCAGGTGGTCCTGATAAACGAGGAGATGTTGGACTTGGTACCGAGCCCAAATTAGAATTTGTAGGTTTAAGTTTTCTTTCTTTTTATAAATTTTCGCTTCCTAATATCTGCTTAGTTTTTTATTGCATCTCATTTCTATGTGTATGGCTATTTTATGTTTTTAATAAACTTGAGGTAATAAGTGAATAGAGTTGCATGGTTTAGGCTATTTTTTAAGTAGATCTAAAGAGACATAGTTTAGTGTTTTCTTATTCAATAAACTCTTGCCTATGAGAAGTTAAGTAAGTGTTTGAAAAAGAAAAAGTCCGCCAATGGAACATGGCTAAATTTGATTCCTTTTGAAGTAATGTTTGGTTAGTCTTAGTTCTTTGTATTTAGTATATTTTTTGGCTCAACCTAGATTATAAAACAAAATGTATGAAAGATCAGATTTTTTTTAGCCAATTGTATCGAAGTAATACAAGTTTGGAACTTATTAGTTTTTATAATTTTAACCTGTATTAATTGGCTTATAAAGAATTAATTTAATAATTGATAATTAGTTGATTTATGGAGCTAACTTTTAAGACATTTTGTCCAGTTATTAAAATTTAAAAAAAAAATTCAAAGTTTTTTTTTAAGAATATTTTTATAATTATTTAGCCATTATTATATATTTTAAGACATGTGATTAAATCAAACAAGATTTAGCTGAATTTCAGTTACTTCTCCAGTTTTTTAAGTTTTATAACTGAAACAAATGGTTCAAAAAATTTGTAACTTTGTGTTTTTCATGTTGCGAAAAGTGTGTAGTGGTGGTGCTTCGCACTCTCTAGCCTCGTGCCGAGCTTTCATCCTTTCAGTGGGTCGATAAAATGAGTGCCAAACATACTTGGCGACTAGACACTGGGTTCTGCGTTCGGCTGCCCACCCAGCCAGATCATCTACTCTTGCACATATGATTCCCAGGGTAAGAAAACTGTGGTGGGCACAGTAGGCCTTGGTCCTCTACAGACTGTCACGCCACTGAGTTTAATTTTAGAAGAATGTTTAATAAACATGTCATGCTCCAAATAATTGAAATCTGAATTGTTAATCTAAATATATTTTTATTGGTTCAATTGATGTATAATTAATGTTAGGTTGTTTAAGTGAAGATTTAAAGATCTTACCTTAACATGTAAAACTTGTATTAATTATGAAGAGAGACAGAATAACCATTAATAGAAATTAATAATTTCTAAGCTTAGAATTATGGAATTTCTCAGGATACTTTCTCTTCTAGTTTGTTGCTTCATTCGTCCTTTCTATTATCTTAGAATTACTTTTTGTGTAGTTTTGTGGAAATTTTGAAAATATATATTAGTGTTAAAAGTTAACATTGGCATTTTTACACATAACTGATCTTGCATGCTAGGCATGGTATAGGTAATTAATTACTTTTTAAAAAAATGACAGTTAATGTATTGCATTTTTGCTCCTTTCTAATATTATGTTTGTTATGTTCGTTTTTATATTTTATTTTGCATAAGTCCAACCAGGTTAGATTATATGCCTCCCTGGATTTCACTATGCTAAAGAGATATCTTTTGTTTACTTACTATCTTAAATTAATTTTTTAGGTAGCTTGTTCCAAAAGATGACAATTTGATATGTTTTATTTTTTATCAATAGTTTGCTTAAGAGGATGCTGTCAGTTTTAAACAAATTCCGATGTGACTATTTTGTTTTTGTTTCAAATTGTTAGCAGTTTTATATATTTAGGGAGAAAAAAAATTTTCTTTTCTCAGATTTTTACATATAACTGATCTAGCATGTGTCAACATACTAAGCATGGCTATAGCTAATTAATTACTTTTAAAAATGACATTTGATGTATTACATTTTTGCTCCAGATAAGTTATTTGTAGATTTTGCTTCTGATAAGTTATTTGTAAGTTGCAACTGTTTTTATATTTTATTTTGCATAAGTCCAACCAGGTTAGGTTATGTACCTCCCTGGATTTCATTATGCTAAAGAAATATCTTTTGATCTTACTAAAGATCCGTGATGTTACTGTCTTAAATTAATATTTAAGTACATAGCGTGTTCAAAAGATGACAATTTGATATATTTTTTAATCTATAATTTGCTTAAGAGGATGCTGCCAGCACAAGGAACGCTTCATGGAAAATTCTATTTATTCGATGTTGGTAATTTTAAGTATGTAGAAAAAAATCAGTTATTGAGATTCATGTTGAATTATTCTAACGTCGATTACAATTATTAGTCATAAAAATGTTACATTTTATACAAACTTTAAAGCTCAGTTCTGAAACTTTGATCTTTCCATTATTTAAACAGTGAAGGTGTCTTCACTTGTGCCAAATTATGTGTATAATGGCGTCCTTTTAAGCAAAATTTCTGCTTTCAGACTATTTGCTTACATTTAGAATAAAATAGTGTGATGCATTTGAAATTGCTTCAAATCAGTGAACTCATCTACACTATAAGTGAGTGGAAAAGAATCTATGTTTAGATGAAAATTGCTGTAAATATACATTTACTTAGCGTTGCTTACATTATGCATAAGTCCAACCAGTATAGGTTTTTCATGTACCTCTCTGGATTTTATTATGCAATAGAAAATTCTTTTATCTTATAGGTCTTGAAAGGTTTTTTCAGATGTTACATTTAAAAGATAACAGGTTACATATTATAGAGTTCTTGGTTGTTATATGCTTTCAATTCATTGCTCATTACATTGTAGAATATCAATTGCATTACATAATATAAAATTTTAATGTCTATAGTGAATGAATGTCTTGACTAATTAGGGATATATTTTTCTTTTGCAGAAAGGTGGATTTGGACGTGGTCGTGCTCCTCCCCAATAATTTTATATGTATATAAAGAAAAAAATTAATAAAAAAGTGTCTACAAAATTTTGTTTGATCTTTTTATTTTTAGTAGATAACATGCAATGTACATGTATCATATTGAATTTAATAATATGAAAGGTATGTATGGTTATTTATGATAGCATGAAAATATTTTCTTTAAATTAACAGACTGGTGGTTTAGCTTAAAGGTAGATTTGAACTAATGTTTCTCTTGGATATACTATTTCCTTGTCTGATAAGATAACATAGAAAAACTGGTTTTTCCCTGCAGAGAACACTTGGGGCTAATATAAGACTTTTTCATGTTAAAGTGTAGAATCTACTGTAAGTCGTGAGGTTTCAAATACTAAAAAAATTAATTGAAATGAATTCTAGTAATTAAAGGCATTTAATTTTCTCCAAATATACTAACAAGGTTCCAACGGTCCTTAAAAACTGCTAAAATAAGGGCCCTTTAAGGTACTTAATTTTTCAGCTTTCCTATAGTTAGTTGATAGGAACAATTTTTTAAAACAAAATGTCGTTCTTTTATGACTTAAAATTAGATCCTGCATCGAGCAGGGCTGATTGTGCTCCGGAAAAATCCGGATTTTTCGCTAACAGTGATCCGGAGATCTAAGGTCCAGACGTTTCAAAAAATTATTGATCACGGAAGTTTCCGGAAATCAAATTTTCAAAAGTGGAATTTAAGAACACATTTTATTTTATTTGCTTGTAAGGGAGAGCCAGAGAGATACTTTATAAGCTTATATTCATGATTAATATTCATTTTTTATCAGTAAATAGTTGTTATATTCATAAACTCAAAAAAGAAAGACATATTTGTAAATTTTAATTACNGTGGAATTTAAGAACACATTTTATTTCATTTGCTTGTAAGGGAGAGCCAGAGAGATACTTTATAAGCTTATATTCATGATTAATATTCATTTTTATCAGTAAATAGTTGTCATATTCATAAACTCAAAAAATGACATATTTGTAAATTTTAATTACTTCTCCAGGTCATCATAGGTATGTGTAAAATTTTTGATATATTTTAAGTAAACTAAGAAGTATTGCGAAAAAGGGGAAAAAACGTTGTTTAAATATTTTTTCAATTTAAACTTCTTTTTTTATTTTAAACTCTGGAAATTTTCCGGAATTTTGACTTGGGCTCACAATCACCCCTGATCGAAGGTAGAGAATTTTTGAGAGATGAGAAGGTGAAACGTTCTAAAAAGAAAAGGATAGTGTGGACAGGGGGATCCTGCATATGAAAGAGATTGGTTGCATTACAATTAGTTCATGATTTTGACCAGATTGTTTAGTAACATTATGTAATGTTAATTCCTAATAACAGGTTTGGCTGGAAATAATTTTGTGTAAGGCTTATCATAAAAGTAAATATAACGCATTTGCTATTAAGTAATTTCAAAATAAAGTTTCATACCGTTTTCAATGTTTTTCATAAAATTTTATTATTACAGGAATATTTTATAATAAAAGAATACCACGTATTGTTTTAAACTGTTAATTTGGGATNCAAACTGTCATTTCCTTGGCTGACCCTCCCATCCAAAAGCTGACCACATAGAGCGTAAATAATTCCCTTAACAGCAAACGGAAGAAAAGAGGGGAGGCATTCCTTTTGTCTGACCCCTGCCCATTTCAGGGGGAACTCCTTTAAATATGTTTGCCCATCTAAGAGTAAAACTATTTCAAGTAAGCGCCACCAAGAGGGTTAATTACTTCTCCAGGTCATCATTGGTAAGTGTAAATGGTACAGGCATGTGTAAAATTTTTGATATATTTTAAGTAATCTAAGAATTATTGAGAAAAAGGGGGGGAAAACGTTTAAATTTTTTTCAATTTAAACTTCTTTTTTTATTTTAAACTCTGGAAATTTTCCGCAATTTTGAGTTGGGCTCACAATCACCCCTGATCGAAGGTAGAAAATTTTTGAGAGATGAGAAGGTGAAACATTCTAAAAAAAAGGATAGTGTGGGCAGGGGGGATCCTGCACATGAAAGAGATTGGTTGCATTACAATTAGTTCATGATTTTGACCAGATTGTTTTGTAACATTATGTAGTGTTAATTCCTAATAACAGGTTTGGCTGGAAATAATTTTGTGTAAGGCTTATCATAAAAGTAAATATAACGCATTTGCTATTAAGTAATTTCAAAATAAAGTTTCATACCGTTTTCAATGTTTTTCATAAAATTTTATTATTACAGGAATATTTTATAATAAAAGAATACCACGTATTGTTTTAAACTGTTAATTTGGGATCAAAAAATAAAATATCAAATCATAATAATAGAGAATAACAATGATAAAGAAATATTGCTAGTGAATATCTATAAATGATGAAAAAATAAATTAATTAGTTAATTAAGGAACCTTATCAATTTTCTGGCCATAGGAATATGTTCATACATATGAAAAATCATTTTAAACCTTTTATATGTTTCACAGAGAACTAATAAAAAACGTTGGTTTGAAAATTATAAATTTATTTCATATTGAAATACATTTTATTTCATAAAAATTATTTCCATGAATTTAAAGCAATATGTTAAGTCTAATGAAAAAAAAGTGGAATGATTTAAGGTGATCGGACTTAATTTAGCATGACAGAATTAAGAAAACTCACATGCATAACTCTAATTCAACATTTTAGCATTAATAAACTTAATTCTATTGTTCAATAAAATTATTAAAAGTAGAATACGGATTAGCTTCATGGATGATGTCAGATTTAACAATCTGAAAATGTTTTTTAAAAAAATCCGACCTGAGTTTTCGAAAATTGGCTGGTACTTCTTTGGGGAAATCTTTTAATAAAATTTTTTTTATATGTATTCCAGATCTTACCTTATAATAAGAAAATTTTTATTATATTTTTCACTGTCACTGGTGGTATGTGTATATTCGATGATAAAGAGACCTTTTTTTTTTAAATAAAAGGTTTATTTTTTTTTTTATAAAAGCAGACCGACTGATTTTTTTGTTGGGAAAATTTAGTGCTAGAACACTAATGTTTATATATTAATTATCATATTTGCCACCAACTTGACTGAATGGATCATGGTATATGACAAATCATTTAATAAAATTGTAGTCATATTATTGAAAAATTTTTGTTCTTATTTCGGCAACTATTTTCATCCTTTATGCTACTAAAAGCAACCCTGGTTAATCTCACTTTTCTCAAACTGTTAATATACCAATGAAGATAAAACTGAATTTGTCATGATCTATTTCTCCTACGTAAAATGTTCTGGGTATCTACGCGCCTGAAAAGTCAGATTTCGGTATTGAACAAAATTTGTCATGATTTTAACTATTTAAAAAAAAAGTCATGGATTTAGGTAGCTGAAAAATCTCATTTTAAAAATGGAATTTACCTCCCCAATTTCACAGTGTTCCGAATGTCTGAATTAGTAATAAAATCCCCAATCACAGGTCACATTTTATTAAAATATAGAATGTTCTTATGGTGTTTCATTAAAAATTAAGGCGTTCTTTCAAAAAATGAATGAAAGAACATCATTTATAGAGTTAATTATCTACTTACTTTTATCTTAAACTTCTGCGATTTCAAATTTTTTTTAGTTTATCAATTTCAAATTCTAGCTGAAGCAAGTCATTCAATTGCGAATTTTTTAAATTGTTTTTCAGCATGTTGCCCGCGATTCTGCCACGGGTCTTTGAGAGTAACCAGCAAGTGGTTAAAGACTAATTCTGCCTGCTTGAGCAGATAAAGGAAAATTATTAAATTTATTGTTGTGTTTTTGTATTGTAAATTTGTCGAATAGTAACTTCGGTGAGTCATGAAAAATTCTTGGAATTAGTCATGGATTAGAAAATCTAAATTGTAACAGATACCCTGTTTCTTTGGTTAAAATTCTTAAAATAGATAATGTTTTATTTAAAATAGCATAAAAATAGGATGTATTTTTGAAATAGTTATTTATTATCGCTGAAATGAAGGCAAATCGTTTGCACAATCGAGGAAGGACAAACCTATGTGGAAGAATTAAAGTTTTTTTTACAACGAAATATAACAGTCTAACGTATAACTAATTTAAAAAAATTGTATAATAGTCTCAATAGAATTTTGTAGTTCTTATAGGCTCGAAATAACTCAGAAATTTTACCCGTCCTCTTCTGAAACTAACCCGTAGCTTCTAAATAAATTAAAACATAATTTTCTCTTATTTATTACAAACATTTATATAAATTGCACAATGAATTAGTAGTTACTAGGATTACATTATACAGTAATAAGAGAAATACTAGGTTACTAATAGATAATACTCCAGATAACTTGACTTTAAAGTCAAGTTATCTGGAATGTCAATTTATCCGAGGGTACTACGTTTTTTTAAATAAATCAAATATGACGTTTGCCAGTTCCACAATCAAACCAAAGATTTACAGAGGTTTCTGCACAGAAATCTGAAAGGGGTTTTGTAAGATCATTGCTGAATAGATCCTTCAACTGCTACAGAACTCCTAGACAGAGAAAACATCAATTCCACCATACGCAGTATGTTGCTGTTTTCTAGATTAGAGGGTCATTTTAGATGTGAGGTCCTAAACTCTTGTAAGGTAACTAAAATTGAAAATGTATCACGAACATTAACGGGAAAATGGCCTTCCGCGCGGACGTCGGATTCGAGAAATTCGTTGTCCGCGGGGAATTTTTGAGCCCTGCCTTATTGAGTGTAACAAGCAGGGTAAGCCCACATTTTCTTAATTTTGCTTATTATTAACTCTCTAATTTTGTTATTTACTTTATCAATAAATTTAACAAATGACAAGAGTTTCCAATTTAATAATTATCTTCTCTAGTCACACAAATGCATTCATGTTTTAACACTAAACCTTCAATAGCGGTCAATTGACTATTTTTAAGATATGTAAAAAAGTTCTTTTTTCAACATCTTTTTTTTCCTAGTAATCATAAGGCACGAAATTATTTTTGGCTCCAAGTGACATTAGATAGTTATTTCTTTTATGGGTGATTAAATATATACAATACCAAGGATGTTATAAATGCGGAACAGAATCTCGAAAATTT